ATTATTCCTTATCAAATTATTCTTCTTTGCCAAACGGTCTTCGAAAAAGGCGAATTAGCCGAACGGTTAGCGACCCACGGCCAGCCTAACCGGGCCCACTCTCGCCCCCATTCGATTCCACGATCGAGCCAGCACACAAAGCGTGTTTCTAAACAGTTTCTGTCGCAGGATGATCGTCGACGACGGTGCACGCGTGATCTCCGTTTAATCCGGGTCTTGTCAAAACCGCGTCGGATCCTCTGCTAGCCAAACATCCGCGGCCCGCCTGCCACCCCCTTCGCATACGTCGCCGACAATGCCGATTTCACGCGTTGATAGCTCGAAAATGGAGTCCATTCAACCCTTCTCTCGCAGGAAGCGCGGGGCCGGGAGAATGTGTATCTAACAGTCAATTCGGGGACAATGCCGGGGCCGGATCAGCCCTTCCTTTTCATCCCCCTTTTTTTCCGCGGCGCGGCGGGGTTCCGCGTCATCGACACGGACCATTGTAACCGGATACACTCTGCTTAGGGGTGGCTTCCAGACAAACCCCGGGACCGGCTTCTCTAACTAGTTGCCACTTAATTTGGCAAAGATCGAGGGTCGACGCCGTCGCGCGACCCTTTCGGCTCGGCTCTGCTCGGCTCCGCTCGGCTCGGCGAATCGATTGGCCAACGAAATGACGCTCGACCGTTTACGCTTTATCGCTGCCGTGATTTGCCGTTGCTTGTGCTCTTCTTTCCGTCGAACGAACGGTTCGATTCGAGCCGCCATTCTGTTCGGCGACGGTTGCGTCACCGATCGACGAGCTGCGAAAATCGTCGCGCGGTTTGTTCGCGTTTTTCCGTTCGAATTTCGTCAGTTAACGGGAGCCACCCTTTGACTTCAAAGTCTGACACTAGATTTATGAAGCAGCTGTTGCATATTAATTTATTAGAGTAACGATGAATCATCTATTCCGGCATAGAAGGAAGAAATCGAGCACCTCAACAAAAATAACTGAGACATTTGTACCGATTTTGAGCCAATGTTGTCGCGATATTTGTCGCAACGATATTGAACGAATAATTCGCAAGTGTACCTTTAGAATCTGAATAATCGTAAAACTGAAGGATCAGCGACCCGTCGTTCCGACGAGTACCAGAAACCTGGTGCGAACGACTCGCTCGGAACCGCTCGAGAGAATCGGCGGAGAGAACGATTATTTAACGTTTCGAGAACGGAAAAGAATAGACAAGAGAGGTAACCGTGGGTAAATCTGTTCGTGTTCCAGGTGAAAGTCTGGTTCCAGAACCGACGGACGAAGCACAAGCGGATGCAGCAGGAAGAAGAAGCGAAGGCGCAACAGCAATCCGGCGGCAGTGGCGGCGGAGGTGGCGGAGGCGGCGGAGGCGGGGGTGGGAACGCGAACAACAACAGCAACAACAAGAACACGCATCACGTGAGCAAGTGGCAGCAGGAGACCGGTGACTACCACCACGAGGAGGAGGAGGAAGAGGAACACATCGATCCGGAGGCGGAGGAGTGCTCGAGCGGCTCCGAGGCGTAGCTAGACGTTCTCTGCCTGGACTAAGGCGCCAGGAGTCCCGTCTGATCGACGAGAACGCCGACCGATCGGCCCCGATACAGTCGAGAACTGTACCGCGGATCGATGGGATCGCGATCCTGGCAGAGAACCAGCGGCGACCAACGCCAGAAAACAGAGCCGCGAGAACGGCTGGAATCGCGCGACAGTTACGGAAAGCGGGCGGACACATTCGGGAGCATCGTCGTCTCGCGACGAGACGCATGCCGGTTCTGGCAACAATCGTTCGATCGGGCGCATCCGTCGTTCCTAGTAAATCGTTCGAATTCTCGAGAATTGTCTCGTCGACACGCGAATGCGACGACAACACTCGACTGAAGTCGACGCGCGTTCGCTTGTTTCCGATTGTCGAAAATTCGGCTCGCTCTTTCAGAGTTTTGCGCGCGTCGCCTAGATTCGGCGCATAAGAATGCTCGAGAGCGAAGCACAGAAGGTTAGACGTTCGTTTGTGGAGCGATTAGCAAAATTTCTTCGGAACTTCGATCGTCGTTCGAAGCAGTTCAAAAACGTTCCGACGCTTCGTCGCGCTGTTCGATCCTCGTAGCGATTAAGAGCTCGCGCGAAGCCCCACGATCGCGTCCCTTTGCTTCCCAGAAACTATTCGAACTAAAATTTTGTTGTTATTATCATAGTCTTGCCGTGCCTCTGGGTCCGAAAGAACCCGGACGTGGTACGGCGACGGTTGAATTCGACATTCGGCGAAAAGTTCTCCAAAGAACGACCGAACGTCGAACTTCTGGAACCGTTTGTTCGTCGAACGCGCCGCGTGCCACTTTTCATTTTTCGTACTCGCCCCGGACGTTCGTCGCGTTCGGGATCGAAGATTTTCTCATCGGAGCTGCCAAATACGGAGAGTTAACTACGGAGCTGCTAACTACGGAGAACTACAGAAGTTCCTCGGTGAGTTCTGATATCCAGAACAAGACGAACTCCGTGGAAAACCGCGGCGTACGGGTGACCCGAGACGGAGGAGCGGTAATTCCGAGGATACCAAAACGTCGTGGAAGCTTCGATTTTCTCGAATATTCGGAAGAAAGGTCTCGCGTAGCGTGAAGACGCGTGCGAAATCCAAAGAAGAGCAGGATTCGAGGAGGAATCGGATGCGAATCGGATCCATTCGAACAGTTCGAACGATCGGAGCGCGGCGGTGCGGAGCACGAGCAATTCCAAAAAATCGATTCGAATTGCCGGAATCGAATGACGCTGACCTTGTCCTCTGGAAAGGAACACCCCCGGTTGCAATCGCGCGAGGTTAGGGGAGCCTCGGAAGCTGGCTAATGGAGGCATTGTTCCTCGGGAACCGAAATGGACAGAGTTTCCGGCGGAAACGGGGACGCCGCGCCGTTCTCATCGACGGAATCGCCGCCCGGTCCTTTCTTCGCTTTTATCATAGTTCCTCAGTCGAATTCTCCTCAGTCGCGCAGAAGACACCGGGAATGTTTCGATCGGGGCTAGACACGGCCCCGAAAAACAACCGTTTCGTACTGTTACGCGATCCCCGTTCACGCAGATTATGAAGAACCTTCATTTTCGATTACTGTTCCGAAAGACCATTGTCCGTTTCGGTTCTAACTCCGAAATGGCTCCGCAATGAATTTCTCTATGCTGTTTTGTCCAACGCATCATTCTGAGTAGCACAGTAAATTCTCCCGAATTTTTCGTTGAGGAATCGCAGCAAATTCTATCGAATTTTCCTTCAGCTTGTAAACAAAGATGGATAATTTGAGAAGAGGAGACACGGTTATTCGCGCCAACGTTTACTTTGCGCCGAGATCCACGGTCTACCGGTAGTAAGCCGCATTAAATTACAGCGACGAGGTCAATCGAATATCGCGGCAATTCTTTTTCAAGCAATTATTAAGCCAGTCGGCGGGATAAAATCGAATCGATTCGTTCGAGCGATACCAAAAGCGCGATAGAGGTATTTTACGAGTAAGAAATGTGCGCGTTATTTGCAACTCCGATGATTATCACACGGTGCCGATCACCGAGAAATCGATGGAAAAATCGATGGAAAAATCGAAAGAACCATAGAGCCATATCGGAGCGAGCCGTCAGCGAATCGAAGCATCGAAACGGACGATGAAATTTTCGGTTCTCCGCACAGTAGTTGCACGCGACAAGGGTTTTTTGTTCACGCAAATCGATGTTAAAAAGCAGCTTTCGAGCCCCGTCAAGGACACAATCAGCCCGAGAGTAGAAAAAAAAGGGGGCGGCTTCCGGCCGTTCGATCGTTGTCGACGCGTCCGCGCAGTTGCATCTTGCCATAGAACACATTGTACCCCTTCCCTAGCCCCCTCCACCCTTGCCCAACACCCCCGTCCCACCCATGATCGTGTAAATAAATAACCGAGAAGAATCGAAGACTGTGGTCCGTGGCTGTGACCCATGGATCGGCCATCCTGCGTCCTCCGCGAGGGACGAGAGGGATCTCTTTTAATCCGAGGTTAGAGAGTGTAAATAGCTGATGATGACGACAGAGACGAGAGAGAGAGAGAGAGAGAGAGAGAGAGAGAGAGAGAGCGAACGTGTGATTGTGCTAGTACGTATGTGCGTGTGTGTGTGCGTCGGCGTGACCGTCGGCGGTGCGATTGTGTCGCGAAGAGGGAGGACAGAGTGCCAAATTTCGTACCCTTAGGGATCATCCCAGTGTAAACTCGAGTTGTACTTGCGATTGTATTTAACGTCGTTGCCCCGCGAGCGACCAGTATTCCCTTTGTCGATCGATGTCTCCGAAAATGTACTGACGATTTAAATTATTGTATCGATAGAGCGTTAGAGGGCGGCTCAGAGCGAAGGCGATCGTTCCCCGAGGACAAACACCGTTTCTCCGATCGTTCCCGGTCCCCGCGAACGATCCCGGCCCGAGGGGACCCGGAAATATTCTCTTTCGCCGGCGAGAATTGATCCGAGCGAGATTCAAGAGATCACATCTCGAAGCTCCCTCGGATCGAACGACGTCGCCCGATTCTCGCGGAACGATCGGCTCCGCGCGCGNTTCGATTAATCGCCGCGAGTTACCGCGGGGTTCCGGTAGAATCGGCCGCGGGCCGATAATTAAGCGCGTTAATTGGAACGTTGACCGAGGGCTGGTAATTAAACCCAGCGGGGGGTTGTGTCAAATCGACGCGGCCCTCGATCGGCAATTAATAGATCTCATTGTTCACCGGCCTCCGCCGGTCCTCCGCCGGTCCTCCGCCGGTTCTCCGCCGGTTCTCCGCCGGTTTCCCCGATCGGAGACTCCGAAGCGACCGCCCCGTTTCGAAAACGGCTCATTAATATTTCTGGGCGTGGCGTACGTAATCGATTATTACCCGTTGATCTGGCAATTAGCGCCGTGCCCGGTCCTCGTCGCCCCCTCCCCCCTGGTATCTGCTGGTAATCTCGGTGGTACTGTTCCGTTGGAAGGGCGCTGAAAAGTAACGGGTCCGCGGGAAGAATGTTGAAATCCCGATGCTCAAACACGGTGTTCGACGGCCTCGCTTAATTGGGAGGAGGGAACCAACCCGGTGTCTACAATTCCCGTTCTGCGTGCGCATATCGGCACCGTAATTACCCGTTGCCCCGAAATTTTCGGAACGATCGAATCGGAGACCGCGAACACGTTTCCCGCCGTTTCTGGAACGGCCTGCAAAGAAACTTCGATGTGTTACAATGTTCTCGGGCGAATCGTACGTTTCGATACCGATATGAAGTATCTGTCATTTTAGAGTTTGTGCCCTAACAGAAGGTACTGGGGCACGTGAGTATGTTTTCGGGATCTGTCTCGACGATCGGAGAAAGAAGTTGAGAGGGTAGGATTGAGAAAAATAGAAATTTCGAGGCAGAACAACCCCCTTAAAATTCGAGCAAGAGATTCGATACTAAACTAGAATTGTTCACTACGAGAACAATGCCAAGACTGGGTTCGCTTAAACGCGCCTAAAAATGTCTCCNGAATATATTTCGTTCGGAGAACTATGACTCCTGTACGCTGGCTAGATAGAGAAGAGTACTTAATTTAACCCTTATGGCAACCGGGTGCTCGTTTACTATGATGACTTTAACAGTTTTCGGTGCTCTAAAAATATCAACTGCATCGATTTGTCGTTCCGAAGAAAACATTTACGCGGAGACTCTTACATGCTNATGAACCATCCAACAATTTCACAAAAATTCGAATCATTTGCACCAGTTTTGACAAAAGTTATTCCGCGTGCTTCGAATCCGGCGTCTCNATCGATTTGTCGTTCCGAAGAAAACATTTACGCGGAGACTCTTACATGCTGAAGCTTTAAAATTATTCCTCGGTATTTGTTCTTTATTTTTTGTTGCTAACGTAATTGTCAAAGTGCACTGTACAGTGTCGAATCTTCGCCAAATGGTACGAATAGTGCAACTCGATTGATTAATAATTCGAGATTAATTCTATCGATTGACAAATTCATCTTCCCCCGCGCGCGTCGATATTTTGCCGCTGACAAGAAACGAAGGGTTTCGCGGTAAATTTTCCATCGCGTTAAAGAACGCAGAGTNTCCCCCTTCCGACAAATCGTTTTCACGGAAGTGTCCCTTCGCGGGGCCCGGCCACCGTTTCGCAATCCGCCGGCCGATTCTTGTCGATNGGGTTTCGCGGTAAATTTTCCATCGCGTTAAAGAACGCAGAGTTCTAAAAATTCCTCGCGCGATTATAAAATAACGATATTATAAAATCGATATTATAAAATAACTTAAAAATGAAAAAAATCATCCGATCTCNGACACGCCGAGACTACAAAGAGTCATTATTTTCGCCGGTTCCATCCTTCGATTCCGTGTACAACGGTGTCGGACGCCTCTCCCCGCCGGTCCCTTGGTGCAGGAAACACCCTGACCGAGCGAACGAAACGGCGCGGCCGCCATCTTGTTCGACGGACGCTCCGCTTCGAGATCTAAATATCTCATAACATCGAGACGAATGCGCGCATTCGGTCGGAACTTCGTACACAGTTGCGGCTCGATGGCAAAATACAATCGATGTTCGGATTGTCTCGCGAAGCTACGAAGTTCCGTGAAATCGCTGCTGCGTAATTCATTAACCTTTTGCACTCGAGTGGCGAATCCGAGGCTAAAAGTCGAACTAAAAATCGCGTTATACCATTCTTCAAGGTTATTTTAACGGTGCCGGATTTGTTTATATTAAAAAGTAAATCGTTGAAATTGCAGCTATTGTACTTGCCAGTAGGCTAAATTTCATATGCAAAATTGCCTCGAATAATAATAAAATAAAAGTACCGTAGATCAGAAAGCGTCTTTTCGATTTCGAATTAAAATAGCTTCGACTGCAAAGGGTTAATGGCCGACTAATGAAAATCTAATGAAACATCTGTCATATTAAAGTTTGTGCTTTATCAGAAGCTACCAGAACACGTGAACATAAGTAAGAGATATAATAGAATATAAATAAATATAGAATATAAATTTGCAGGATTGTTCCACCGAAGTCTGCGAGTGCAAATAATTTCTGAAAAAGCAGGTTCTCGTTCGAGGTAACCGGATGGGAAATTTTTACGCCGCGGCGGTAAGACGCGACGTAATTAAACGTTCCATTAAACGTCACCGTGGAAATAATTAAACGTCACGGCGCGGCGCGGCGCGGAGCGGAGCGGCAGCGAGTAGATCGGGGTTGCGCGAGGATCGCCGATAAATTAAGCGGTTCGATTAATCGCCGCGAGTTACCGCGGGGTTCCGGTAGAATCGGCCGCGGGCCGATAATTAAGCGCGTTAATTGGAACGTTGACCGAGGGCTGGTAATTAAACCCAGCGGGGGGTTGTGTCAAATCGACGCGGCCCTCGATCGGCAATTAATAGATCTCATTGTTCACCGGCCTCCGCCGGTCCTCCGCCGGTCCTCCGCCGGTTCTCCGCCGGTTCTCCGCCGGTTTCCCCGATCGGAGACTCCGAAGCGACCGCNCGATTCCCTCCCGGTTCCGACGATCCACCAAAATAGAGCTAATGATATAGCATTTCGAGCGGCCGTATTAATTCCGCGAGGACGCTGAATTTCATTAGGACTCGATCCGCGTTCCCTGAACCGGGCGCCCGGCCATCGCTCGTTCCACGGACGGCCGTACTGCTTGTAATAACACGGATCGCCGTAACGATCCTTCTTAGCCCCGCGTGCTTTCCGCTCGATTGAACGATTTTTCTCGTAACCTTGGATTCGATGGGCGTAGATGCCGGGTTTTGCTTCTGGATAATGATTTCCAATGGTCCGAGCCGCGGCAGCGCGCCGCTTCGCCTTCGCGAGAGACCTCGAAAAGACCGACGGTCGCGCGAACGCCGACGTTCGGGCAAGCCATTTAAGCGGCCGTTCGTCGAATTTTTTCACGCCACATTCACGGAATCCGTGNGAGACGGGCGAGACGCGGACCGGGACGAGACGGAGAGAGAGAGAGAGAGCGAGAGAGAGAGAGAAAGCTAGAGGGAGAGTGAGAGAACTAGAGAGACAGTGAGAGAGCTAGAGAGAGAGAAAGGGATGCCCGAAGGGACCCAGAGGGACCCAGAGGATCCTCGGGCCCCTCTGGACGGAACGAGATCCTCCCGGTTCCCCTGCCGACGCCGGTCGTTCGTCATAACCGGTNTTTCGTCTAATTAAGTGCCGTGAAGTATCTCGGAATGGGCTGAAGCTACGAGAAAAATGTTTATGCGAGGAGCTGTTCGGCGCGTAACGGTATCTTACGTGGCACGTATTAAAAATTCTTTCGTTCGTATAATGACGGAGGATATTTCAAGATCGATTTGATCTTTTTTTTTTCGATCGGGCCGTGCGGTTTTTTGCGGCTGTAACCGGTTAAACGAAACACAGCGCCGCTGTTGAAATATTGGATCGAAGGGATGGTTTTATTTTATAAAATTGACCATTTTATTACTGATATTTACTCGTATACTTGTCAAATCAAATACTTGTCAAAGTTAAAAATTCAAATTGCTGCTGTAGACTGGCACAGTAATGTCTCCCTAATTGACGCTCGGATTGTCCGGAAAAATGGACAATTTAGGGAGAGGAGATACGATTATTCGAGTCTTGCGGTTCCTCTTCGCAAATTGTTCACTTTTGCGGACAACCTGAGCGTCAATTAGAGAGACATTACTGTATTCGGCAAAGCAAGGGACGAAGCATGTCGATCATACAAATATCGTGATTCTTTTTCTAATCTTATTTTCGTAACAATGCAAACACCTTCGTGCACATACATGGTCTCAAAATATTCTAAACATCTTGAAATTTGCGAATCTGATGATATCGTTTTCACTGAAATCGCAATTTAAATAGCCAGTGCTCGCCACTTTTTACCCACGACGAGTATACTCGTCGCGACGCAAAGTACACCGCGGCTCCTCCACGACGAGTATACTCGTCGCGACACGATGAACCGGTTAAAATATTCGACTCGAGAGCACCGGCAACAATTTCGCGCGATGCACGTGTGCATCGCCGCGTTGCGTTTCTCGCAGAAGTTGATCGTTCGGCGAGAAAGGGGAGGGGGATGGGGGGGACGGACGTCTTAATTGTCCTCGGCGGCCGAGGGTCGTCGAGGTGTTCCGAGGCACCGCGGAAGCTGACAGTCGGTTGTCATTGTCATTCAAATAGAGCCGGTGGCCTGCCGGTCGTATTTAGCGACACGAAACGGTGTTTTCTCGGGGCCGTACGTAAATTAGGGTGGATAAGTGGCGCGTACGCCGTCCGTGGCGGTCGGATGAAGAAGTTCGCGGCACGAAGGCGCGCGGTTCTCGGTTCTCCGGCTCGTTCAGGAAACGCTTGATGCGCGGGTAATTGACGATTCCGCGTCCCGACGCGCCGCGTTCCTGCATGCTGACGCACCCGTGTGCTCTCGAAACCGATGTTTTATAGCTACGAGATTTTATTGGACCCTTCCGAACACACCTCGGCGATAAAAGCGGTCTTTATTTTTTTCAGACTCGCGGGAATACCTTTTTTTATTCGAGAAGCAACAGCCACGGAACTTCCC